TATCTTTCATATGGAAAGCAGAGACAAAGGAACAGTTATTGGTGATCTGAAAACTATGGCCACAATAAGAGAAGCAGAAAATTTACTAGCACATTGCATATGAGCTCATATGTTGTAATAAATCCAGGGTACACAACATAAGAAAAAAAAATGTGTAGATTAGATTTGAGAGTTTCCTCTGAGCCCCTGTTTAAAATGACTCTCACACACACTGGCAGGACAGAATATAGATCAGTGTGCAAATGCAGCTCTGATACATTTTCTTTCTAAGTCATCCAGCTACAAAAGAATACATCACCTGCTGTGGAGTGGGGTTGTGACGGTCTACAGTTGTCTGTTTAGCAATGTTTGCGTAGTAGGCGTAGGCCAGATCTGGGTCTGCAGGGAGACCACGTAGTCCGAGGTGGTGCAGGTGCCCGAGATGCAGAAGCGCTAATCGATCATCTTTCTGGGCAGCCAGCAGGGCCAGGAGCCAAGCCTGCACCAAACACAGGGGCATGTGGGAATATTAAAGAATCTGGACACGCCAACCACAGCTATGGCTGATCCAGTAAAACGAACCTTAATGGGCTGTTTCTGGACTCCCAGTCCAGTGCTGTAGAGCACAGAGGACATGTGCAGAGCTCGGTTATCAGCCAGGCAGCCGGCCTGGAGCAGCAATGGGAATATTCTGCTGACCAGTCCAGTGCTGCTCCCTCTGACCAGCTTAAGAAGTGATAAGGAGTACAGCGCTCGGCCCACTGCTGGCAGGCTGACTGTTCTCCCTCCTGCAAGTCACAAATTGAATTTATTTCATGGTTTGTCTTCAGTCTGCTTCGTGACATCAGTCAGCGAATCAACAGTCATTTCAAGCTCATGCTGTGCAGACAAATCATTGTTATTTTAAAACTTAGATTCCAAAGATAGCAGATTCATCTGTTTTGTCGTCTCTTACCAGATTTGAAAGCCAGTAACTTGGCCAGTTTAGCAGCAGCTCTTCTGTGAGGGGCAGCTGCCTCCCACAGCTCACACTGGGGATCTGAAGGCAGTCTTTTTTTCATCATCCACTTATGGAAAGCATCAAAACAAGTTTCTGAAAAAAGCAACACAGATACTGCTTTGTACACTCAGCAGCTCTACTGAAGGTTTTCAAGAATCTTTCAACTCCAGTCATTTTAGCACCACCTAGTGGAAGTATAAGCCTACTACCAGCCTCTGTGCTCTGTTTGGCCTTGAGTGAATAACCGCTGAGCTTCACATCCATCTCAAGACGAAACTCCTGACAGGTCTGCAGCCATCCGGTCAGGTTGACTTTCTTAATCACATCTGGAACATCAGCTTCAGGCTGCAGGAGAGAGAAGTCATCACAAGCAGTGAAAAACTGTTTGCAGCTGCGGTACAGTGGTGGTGCAGCAGTAGAAGTCGTACCAGGCTGTGAGGTGATATCCTGTTGCGGTAGTACACCACCGGTCCAAAATAACCCTCCACACCTTGAATATATTTCCCTCCACCAATCACGAAGTATCCCTCTGTGTCGTCTAACACAACAGAGTGACTCAACCTGCAAGACATGCAGTTACCACATAAGCAGGACACTTCCAACACACTTTTATTTCTCTTGGTTATTTAGTTGAATCATTGTGTTAGAAGTTAAACGTCGACTCACGTATGTTCTGTAAGTTTGACTTCTCTCTGCTCCTGACCAGTGCACACCATGGACATGCTCACCTGAGAAGCAGTTTATTTTATTAGTAACAGATAACCTATGATAGTCTCCATCATTAGAAGACTACTCACCGTACTGCCGTGCAACACCACACTGAGTCGGCACCACTCGCTTAAAGGCACTTTAAACAGAGTTGTAAACGCAGAGGACTCCCCAGACCCTCCATTCATCTGGATGTGTAGTTGGCCTGTATGTGTGAGGCAAAGGTGAAAGGCTTTAATAAATCCAGATAATAGGATGTTATCAAAGGGGTGAGAGAGGAATTATACCTGAATCTGTGAGGAGCACTGTTGGTGAGGCATAGTTGTTGTGGGAGTCTATATGGTGAAGCACGCCACACATGATATTCTGACAGTGTCTGGTCACAAATATCCAGATGGAAAACATACACCTGAAGAAAAATACAAGAAACACTTGCTTATTAACTAATAATAAACCAGCTTTACATAGACAGAAGTGACAGCTGGGTTATGTGTGATGTAACTTTGGTTGTGGTACCATGGAAAAGAGGTGGCCTTAACCCGCAACATCTCCAGAACCTCACTCCTGTAGGGGTCCAGCGTCTTTATGATGCCAAAACTTTCTCCAGTTGAAGCGTAAATTGAAGACAGCAAATGTACTGTTTCTGAATGACAAGAAGAGTTTAGGTTGGAAGATGAGAAGGCGGTGTTTTTAATCCATAACCATCATTTTAAAAAGAAAGGAGAAAAAAAGAGGCAATATTAGTTTTGGTATCTTTCTCATGCACGGATGTTCCTGAGGATGTTGTTCTCTAATTTTAAGATGCTGACAAAACAAACTTTTCAATTTTTCAAAGCTCCATTTGTACACTTTTTGATTTTAGGTGCAGTATTTTCAGCTTTAAGCTCCCAACTTACCTTCTTCCAAAGGGCACTGTTTCTTTAAAAACTGTTGGGTTAATTGCAGCATTTGTGTGCTCCAGGCAGTACAGAGCTGATGCTGTTTGACAGGTCGACTAAAGTCGGGCTTAGGCTGCACAGTTGCCACATCCTGAGCTGCGGCAGACCCCTCAGTATCATAGGATCCTCTGTGTCTGACCGAGGCGCGAAGGATACAACTGAGCACCCGGTGAGACTCTGGAACAATCCCGTCGGCTTGATACACCAACCAATCCGGCAGTCTCAGCTTCAGAGTTCTTATTTCAGGGTCACCGGGGACACAGCTCCACTGTCTTAGCAGGAGTGTGGATACTGTGCCGGTTTCAAAAGATATAATACAGTCCAGCTGCACTGTGGCCGGTTCATCACAAGAGAAGAGTATTTCCAAAAGGTGGTCTGGCAGAGCTTCCTCTGGAGGATTCAGGAGCCTCACTTCATCTAAACCCCAAACAATCTGTAAGTAACAAGACATGCACAGAGTTTGCTAATGACATCTGTTGGAAGCAGGATATTAGAGATGATGATAAACCTTCTCCTACCTGCACACTGAGGCAAAACTGACAGATGTATTTGTACACTGTGTAGAAGTCCATGGTCCTCTCAGTGTTTTTTGCATTAATCGTTCCATTAAAGACATTCAAGTGAAACAAAGAGCCTCAAGTACCGGATCTCATCCTGCTCCACCTCTGCTACGTTGACACTTAGGTAAATATTTAACAGCACACAATTACTATATACACAGTGCAGTTAAGGTGGAGCTCTGTGAGTTGGGCTACAGTCCAATACTTAGCATATGACCAGAGGTAAACTCACCTGTTACTGATGTCTGCAAGTACTTAGTGAATTTGCATTAACAAAAAAAGACGCAGAGTTATGCAAAAGTGTACAAAATAAGGAATAAAAGTGGCTCATCTTTCATTCAAAATAGTTTATTGCTATCATGCAGGAGTGCCATCAAAGTCTAGACCACCACAGTAGATGCAAAATTATCATTTTCTCTGTACAAATATACTGTATGTTTTCATAAATAGAAGCTCAAAATAAAGAGAAGGAGAAAAAAGTAGGGGCTGGGACTCGAGAGCTTAAAGCTGATCCGCTCTTCTAACCCAATACAGGTTTTTCGTTATGACGGTTGACATGCATCAACGTTACAGTGCATTATACCGGGAGCAGACGGACGCGCACACACACACACGTACACTCACACATTCAGATGGCATAACCAATTTACAGCTCTGTCGTGCAAAATAGGTACAAATGACACCTTAAAAAAGTACCAGTAGGAAATTGTTTTTTTTTTCTTCTTCTTAAGCTGGTTTCTCAAATGAAATATTTCAACAAGGTCTTATACATCCAAACCACCTGTTACATTACGAGGCCTGGGGAGACCGACTGTGTCTTCTGCAGCACTTTTTGGTTGTTCATTAAACGGGAGCGCCCTAAGTGTGTCGGCGTCCCTACTACTTTAGTTAACCCCCCTACAACTACTGATGCATAGTTCTGTGCTCGAATGAAGCAATCGACATTAAAACTGGTACAAGGTTCTTTGTCGTAGCAATCTGAGGATAGTGATTTTCTGTAATAAATGTAAACATACTGCACTGATGATACCGTTACAGCAACAATACCATTGGACATTCAGCAGTTAAACTCTGTATATACAGTACTGTATATAACATGCAGTTTTGGGTTCTGTGTCGAAGGGACTCAAAGGGTTGAAACATACTACAACTACAAAGGCCTCTGACTGAAAAAGTGGTTTGGCACTTTTACGTGATTGGTCTTCTGCCTCCGTAACTTGTCGAGCTAAATCTTCCATAAAATCGCACGTACTTGGAAAAAAAAACGTCTATCTTACTGTAGCCCTTACCAGCACCCATCCCTCACTGACAGACTGCTGTGAAGCTTTTATTGTCCACCTAAAAAAACACAGAAACAATAAGACACAGGATAGCAGAAGCCCAAAAATACCAGTTTTAACATACACCCCCGTCACCAAATTAACCGTAAATAGAAAACGTGGATTTTTACTTTTGAGAGGTTAATTCTCAAGAAGGAAATCACACATTTGTACTTTTCTATGGTATACAGGTGTACAAAGCTAATACCTCAGGAAAACCTAGAAATTTTAATTCAACACATAAACAAATAAATAATCATTGTCTTGCAGTGTCTGTAATTTTTTTTTTGGTAACATATTTGAAAATAAAATTATTCCAATATCCAAGCTGTATATTTTAGGCACCTGATCGCCTCTTGGTTCACTGAGGATCTGTGTAAACCCCAAATTTATAACAGTAGTTAAACTAAGCTCATTTTTTAGCAAAGAGACAGACATCGCTCACGCTCCCATGCACGGAACCTTAATATAAAAAAACCCTAAAGCTAAAGGTCTGCATTACTATCTGATGGTCCTATTTGTAACTTAGCAGAGAAATTTGCCTCTTAGATGCTTCGTAGCTGAACCTTTTTGTAGCCTTTTGGAGCATAAATCCCACCCAGTGGCTACCATGAATACACTGTGTGCAAATAGTAACATGTTTTGACAGACCAAAGTGACCTTTAAATCACTAAATGCACTGTAACTTTTTTTTCTTTTACTACTCTTGTGTTTTCACGTCCCCTGTATGTCATTTGCTCTGCCAACAAGACGACAACAAAAGACAGAAAAACTTGTACCCACCAATAAAAACAAAATACTCTGAAACAAAAAACAAAAAAAAAAGAGGAGTGCGCATTCACTTTGGATTTGTAGGCTAGGTGGTTAGGTAGTAATCAAAGAAACATCAAGTGTTGCCTAAGCAGGTTAACGACAAGAACCAAGCAAACACTAAGAGCATTCGAGTATCAGTCAAACAAAAGTGAAGACATGCAAAATGTTATAGATCGTAGAACAAGAAAGAAAAACCAAGAGGGAGACATACTTCCCTTACAGACTGGCACGATTTCCTGCAGAATAAATAATACTTTACATTCCAATATACAAACCTACCCATTCCCCACATGTTCAACATTGACCAAATAAGCAGATAAAGCTGAAGCTGGTTGCTCCCTCAGTCCACAGTCTCTCAGAGTAGGTGTTGTAACCTACAAAAAGACGCAACGGCAACAACTTGTGCCATCATTTGAACATTGGTGAACCCTCAAAACTTCTTCTTTTTTTTTTTTCTTTAAAAACAGACCACACAGAGGAATACAGTCAGACAACTCTGATAGCCTGTAGTTCATATGTAGCTCTTATTTTCTCTGTTTCTTGAAGATCTTGAAGGTGTGTTTCTTGCGGCTGGCAGTGGAATCTGTGTCTTCTCCCGTTGAGCCGCTGTCTTCTTCCAGTGGGCTCTTCTTGGAGGACAGCTGAGGGATGCGGGTGCTGCCTTTTGCCCCCACCACCCCCACTTGCCCTCCCGTCGGCGATGGCGTGTCGGGTTCAGTGGAGTTTGGGCTGAGGGAGCGGGACGACTCCGACAGGCTGTTGATCTCTCCTATGCTGGGCGACGTCTCCATGCCGTACACCTTCTTCATGAGTATGGGGCTGTCACAGACGAGCTCTGTAGGACTTCCCTCGTGAATGCGGTTCCCACCGTTAGGGGTGAGAGCGTGCAGGGAGATGGCATCATCTGCCCGGCTGGACAGGCCGTGCATGAGAGAGGTGGGCTTGATTAGGTGGCCTTTGGAGCTGAAGGCAGATAGCCGATCGCCAACTTGGGAGAGGGAAAGGGAGGAGTCAGAATCGGAGCGATTTAGGTCCCTGGGAGGTAAAAAAAA